GCGTGCATCAGAACTGCCCGGAAGCCCGTCCTGGAGCCGGAGGTGAACCACGTCTCTGCTCTGAGTGACTCCAGTAAGAAGCGTCTGATGGAGGACACGGAGGACTGGCACCCGCGCACCGGCACGTCTCAGTCACGCTCCTTCCGCATCCTGGCGCAGATCACCGGCACAGAGAACGGTACGGGCCGCTCAGTCAGGCCTTCTTTACACTTTCAAAAGGGTTACAACAGAACTGTAAAGTGCGTCTTGCTTCTCTCCTCTAGAGCAAGCTCAGGAGAACCGGCCTGGAAAGAAGTAAGTTCTGCTGGTGTGAGTGTCTGTGTTCAGATCATCTTATCTAATGTTCCTCTGTCTGATTGTTCATAATCTTCTGTGCTCAAACCATCCTCCCATTGAAGGGGATTGTTAGTAATCAAACGGGATTGTGGGTAATCAAGGCTGTTTTCAGAACAATTGTTTCAAAATCTAGTGAGCTGCCTTGACATCCTAACCCAAATTAGGTCATGATACCGAAATAAAAATTGAATTTAAAATAATATAAATTGGTTAGAAATATTTATTAAATGCAAATAAAATTGTATATATTATTGTACAATTTTATATGCAATTTATAAATAATATTCAGATAAATTACTAGAATTTAGAAAATGTTTGTTGGCAGCATGCTAACTGAAATGGAAGTGCTGATATCGAAATGTGGCTGAAATATTTAAAATAATATAAATTGTGTACAAATATGATATTAAAAATGAATTATAAAATTTATATTATATTTAGGGCTGTCAATCGATTAAAATTTTTAATCTAATTACACTATCTAATTAATCATAGTAATCACATCAAATTTGGCTGCAAAATCACCCACAAAAGATAATTTAAAGCCATTATTGTTACGAGAAAATCATGAAATGGGTGTTACAGTAGCTTTAGAGAATTTTCTTTTTTAATTTTCTCCTTTTTTTCATTTTTGGGTGAACTATTCCTTTAATTAGTTCTTTATTAATAAGGATTTTTTTAATTTTCAAATTTCAAATCTGAAAATTTTTTACCGAAATTATACACTAAATAAGAAACTAAAACTGCCAGTAGGTGGCAGCAAATGTCTTAATGAATGAAGTCATTGAGTCGTTCATTCATTCATTTGATTCGTTCAAACGGCTGATTGCTTCAGGAAGGAAGTTAAAGGGGGCTCTCTTTATGAATGGGCCATTGAATCATTGTTTCACTCGATTCGTTCAAAAACGTGGATTCATTCGGAAATTGTGACTTCAAAGATTTACTCAAACAATCCTGAAACTGCAAAATGTTCATCTGTTGACAGCTGCTGG